CCAGGAACGGCACAAAGAATGGAACAGCCTGAAACGGAATCGGAGCCCCGTAATTGAATCGCATTGGGTTGCCTGACCAAGTTAGGTCTCATATTGGATAAGAGACCCATAATAGGATCTGGATTAGAGGTCTTTTGAAATTGGATCCAATTGGCTCTGCGGTCAGAGCTTTTTCCTCCATTTTTTTGTCTTTTAAAGGGTTCTTTTTCCAGAAACAACGTTCCTTGAAATGGCACAAAGAACAGAACAGCCTGAAACGGAATCAAAACCCCCATAATCGAGACCACATTGAGTCGCCCGACCAAATCAAGTCTCATATTGGCTAAAAGGCCTGTAGTAAGACCTGGATGTTCCCGTAATTGGGTCAAATTGGTCCTTCGCGTCAAGCTCGCTCAATCATCAATTTAGTCCTTTCGATTCTGTTGCCTCCAACTATTGGACTCGAACGGAGCATTTCGTTACTAGTAAGTATGCTTTGACCGACTGTGATGGGGTGTCTGAACTGGCCCTTGAATATTGGCACTGAAATCGGTCGTTGCTCTCAATATTCGAGATAATTGAACATTAATAAAAGTCCCCTTTCTTTATATTTTCACGGTATACTTGTGTTACAACACGATAGCGTGCTGTACTTCAGAATATTTTATTAAAATGTTCCAAGAAAATAAGAAATTACGAGCTGAGGCTCGTGAAGTTCATACCATGGATGCGTCCATGGATTCAATTGGTGTTGATGACTTAAAGGCTTATATGAATGATAGAACCTCTGATGATGAATCAAATGATGCGCTCATTGATTCTACAATACATACTATCTTGCGAGATAGACAATTTTTATTGAAAAATCTTCAACTTGGTAAACTAAAAATATGATGACCATGGTTGGAGCAAATGCGTTTTGTTTCTAAGAGGGTAAAGCAATGGTAAAATTACTTGTGAGTTCCATCATAAAATATAAACATGCGATGTTTGCATCCTTAGCACCTCGGAGTTTGATCAGCTATCGAGATGTGCTTATTAATAGTTATCACCTCTTGACTGCCACTTTAAATAGAAAAGAGGTTTTGGTTCTTGCGAAGAATCATAAAGTTGTTGAAAAAGCTTTTGCTACAAAAAATGGATTATACCGAATTGTGATTTGGCCTCCCATTATATTTAATTTTGCATCATCTATCTCAGAGAGTCGTGTTGCTCTTTGGCATGGACGATTGGGACATCCAAGATCCACATTATTTAGAAAGATCATTCCATGTATAACTGGATATAATTTAAAGCTTACATATGTAGACTCTATGGAATTATGTCGTGTATGCGTGCAAGTACCAGAATCTCAATGGCGTACCATTGAAGCTCATCGACAAGAAGGCATATATGTTGGGTTTGATTCACCAAGCATTATTCGTATTGTTGATCTATCAACTAGCACATTATTACATACACGGTTACAAAATTGCCGTTTTGAAGAAACTATATTCCTATCTCTTCAAGGAGTATCCAATCAACAAAGAAATAAAGTACTCATATTTGAAGCACCAGAAACGTTTCCAATGAATTCCAATCCTATGACATCTTTGGCAGAAACTGAAGTTGCTAAGATTTTACATTTAAAACGGATCGCGGATGAAACACCTGATGGCTTCAATAATGCATCTAGAATTACAAGAGTTCTTATTAATGAGGCTCAAAATGCACCTGCTTAGATTGCAATGCCATTGACTACAATACCTCAAGTTATAACAATAACAACTAAAAGAACTCGTGGATCAGATAAGCAACCACGTAAGAAGAAAGCTATAAAATTAACTAATCTTGGTATTATTTCTCAAGAAATTTCCACTCATCTTGCAGGACTACCAATTCATGATGATATATCTATGCATAATATACCTTCAATTCCTATGAAAAACAATCTTGGAATTGGAAGGAATAAGAACAAGTTGAGTAAAGAATTATCTATTCTGTATTGTGCTATAGATGATATTTGAGATAGACCATCTATTACGATAGATGAATCATTTGCATATATGATTATAGAAGCTCTTTCTTACAAGGAAGACGATCCTGAACCTCAAACCATTGAAGAGGTGATGCGTCGCTCAGATTGGTCAAAATAAAAAATTGCTATTGAAGAGGAGTATGCCTCTTTGCGTAATAGGAAAGTCTTTGGTCCAATTGTAGACACTCTTACATCTCATCTTGTGGGATATAAAATGGTATTAATATGGAAGCGAGATGCTCAAGGCTAAATAACCCGCTATAAAGCTCGTCTTGTTGCTCAAGGATTTACTCAACGATTTGGCATTGATTATGAATCCACATATTCTCCAATCATGGATTCAATTACATTTCGATATATTATTAGAATGACAGTTCATGCCACCCTTGAGATGCATCTCATGGATGTAGTAACTACATATCTATATGGTTCTTTTGATGCAAATATTTATATGAAAGTTCCACCTCGCTTAGAAATAAGAACTCCAAATCAACCCGCTCCAAGAAAATATTGTGATATTAAATTATGTAAGGCCTTGTATGGTTTAAAACAATCCGAACAAATGTAGTATCAACGTCTTCGAGATTATTTAATTACAAATAATTTTATAAGTGATCCACTAATCCCTTGTTTGTTTATCAAACGAGATAAAACTGGTTTTGTAATCATCGCTATATATGTTGATGATCTTAACCTAGTGGGCATTACATCTGCATGTATTACAGCTACAAACCTACTTATATGTGAATTTGAGATGAAAATGCTAGGAAAAATAACTTTCTGCATTGGTCTTCAGATTATGCATCTAATAGATGGTAGCATTTTTCTCTACCAACTAACGTATATTAGACGAATCTTGCGAAGATTTAATATGATTGATGCTTATCCATTATCTACACCAATGGTTGGACATGGTCGTGATGGTCATGATCCATACTGTCCATGCGAGGAGGAAGAGGAAATATTGGGAGACCAATATCCATACCTCGTAGCAGTTGGAGTACTTTTGTATTTAGCTACATCTACAAGACCAAATATTACATTTGCACATAATATTCTTACAAGACATAGTGCATGTCCAACACTACGACATTGGAATGGCATCAAACATTTATTACGTTATTTAAAAGGTACTAAAGACTTGGGATTATACTATACAAAATTGGCGGATCCAAAATTGGTTGGATATTGTGATGCAAGATATAAATCTCAAACATAATATGTATTTTTAAGACATGGAGCTGCAATATCATGGAAATCAGTGAAACAAACAATAACTGCAACTTCATCCAACCATGCAAAAATTATTGCCTTACATGAAGCATCTCAAGAATGTATTTGGTTGCAATCAATTGATGAATTCATTCAAACAACCTGTGGATTTTCATATGATGATTCTCCAACTATCTTGCATGAAGATAATAGTGCTTGTATTGCACAGATGCAAGTTGGTTTTATTAAAGGCGATAGGACAAAGCATATTGATCCAAAGTATTTTAGTTATACTCATGATTTGATTACTGATCAAGCACTTATAATTAAGAAAATTGAATCTATAAATAACCTTATTGATCTCTTCACCAAAGCTCTTCCATTAAGCAACCATCGTTGACTTACTTATGGCATTGATATGCAGCGACTTGCTTTTCTTGAATATAAAAGTTAATGAGCTCTTTAAATAATTAAAGAAAATGATGTTGTACTCTTTTTCCTTCATCTATGGTTTTGTCCTTAAATAAAATAAGGTTTTCCTAGATAAGGTTTTAATGAGGCAACAATTGTTGATCTTGCAAGATTACAAAAAAGTATAGATCATGATTCTATACAAATTTTATATTATGTAAATATTATGATGAGCGAGGAGGAGTGTTGAGATCATTAAATGTAGCCAGCGCTCTCCATAATATTTACTATAGACTATAGTAAATACCATAGCTACAGTATTTATAGTCTAGTGGAGAAGTATTGTTTATCCTCTTCTCTTTTTACTTCTTGTATACAAGAGACACAACTAGATGAATAGATTTTTGTGTGTGAAGCTCTCTCTCCTTAGAAACCCTCTTGTGTGTATGACTTACTACTACTCTTGTGTGTGTATGACTTACTATTACTCTTGTGTCTTTCTAAACATTCTCAGAAAATTCCAACAATTTGTTGACCACTGTCGCGGTATCCGCATCTGCCCAATTTGGAGCAGATGGCTAGCGCACAGCATGATCTCCTCTCAGGTGTCTTCTTTCCACTCTCGGGGAATCGTGATTAACGACGTTTCCCTCCTCCTTTCCACTCTCGGGGAATCGTGATTAACGACGTTTCCCTCCTCCTCCCCGCAGCCATTTATTCTGCTGCGGGGAATCCATCAAACCCACCTGGTAGCAATCACCAGACGCATAGATCTGGCACACGTCTGAGAGCTTGTGGCAGGCTTCACAGATCCACAAGATTCAGATTCAGGTGGGTCACACTCTTGTTCATTTTTCGGCCGCCGCGCGTGATTTTTGCAGCTTCCAGCGTCGAGGTGCGGGGTTCATGATTTCTTTGAGGTGTTCGAGATGAATGAATTGCTCACGGTCTGGAATTTGCTCGCCAGTGCCACCCCAATAGAAGGCCGAGCAGTAGGAGACAAATTGAGTAACACTTCGCTACTCTTTAAAGCACGAAGTGCTGGAAGAATACGCAGTTGAATACGCCCGTTACTTCTTGCTTCGGTGATGAGTTTGTGCCATGACTTGTTGTCAAAAATGCAGGTGTCAGCGCTTGCGACAAGCTCCGATTGGTGCTGGTTCTTCACCATTCACTATTAGTTACCTTCCCTGACGTGCCCATGCTTTCCTAGAGGGGTAATCTGAATCAAGCCACAGATCGGGTGAACCTTATGAATGAAAAGCTTGTGGCGTGGGTACTAATAAAGTTGGCTGACATGGTAATAATTTCTTCGTAGTTGTCGTGGAAACTACAGTGATGGATTTATTGCCATCAACTGATATTTAGTCACCTGTTTTGTCTCGATTAGGCGATTTGCTGTTTTGGGGTGCGCCTAACCCGCACTTATGAGAGAATCCGGGCTGAGGTGTTGGTTGGTTGTAAAACCTTTTCTGCTGTACAGCTTGCAGAAAGTTGGTCTCGAAGGAAGTTTTGGAAGGAAGGAGGGAAACAAGGAGGGAGGGATGAAGAGCGTGCGTATTTGAGTGGACTAGAGCGTGTATGTTCGAGTAATCAACAACCAATCACTGTATTAGGGGAATGAGATTGTGGAAGTCATCTGCGATGCTGAGCATGGTTTTGAGAGGGAGCAAGTGTTAATCCTGTCTTTCGAGGAGGAGACATCATGAAGAGAGGGAGTGCAGGAAGCGTCTTCCATCTCAAGTTCATGCTGAAGTTGGAGCTGGCGAGACTCGTGAGGGTGACTCACAGAGTTGCTCACTGTCAGAGGTGTTGCAGGTTTCACTGAAATTTTTGGGCACGGCTCTCTCTTACGTAGCTTCGAACTGAACTGCAGGTGCTCTTCAGCTCAATACAGGACGCAGGTGCACGAGTACTTGGATTTCAGCACTGGCCCAATAGCTTAGAAAGTACATGGAACTGGCTATAATGTAGAGCACACTGTAGAAATCATATTGTATCTTCCAATGAACCGCCATCGACAGTGAGGTTACAGTCCGAGAATGCGATGTTGGTAGTCGCTGTAAAAGAGCAGAAGAGGTGATCCTGAGGACTGATTTTGATGAACCGCGAAGTCGGAGCTATGGAGGCTTTTTACGAGGTTCTGCCAGTAGTGCTGAGGAAATTGCCGTTGGTTGATGCAATCCGTGCGCGGGCTGTGTGCCGGGGTTGGAGGGACTGCATAGATGCGGATAAATTTAAATTCGAATTTGGAAAACCTTGTTCCTACTGCCCGCTTGTGTTCAAGCTCACCGACGGTGAACATACGTGGTCAGGGTACGATGCCACAACTCTGAAATGGGAATCGCTGCCCTCGCTCTCGAATGCCCCTCGAAATATCTCTCTTCTCCCTATTCTTGGTAAGCAGCGAAACCCTAAAATTAGTTTGTCGTTGTTTACAATCGTGCTTGCAAAATGGAAGTACGATCATTCTTTCCCATTCTACTCATTGTAATCTTCACATGTCTTCCAGGAAGCGGCAACGGTTCTGTAGGTTTCGGAGTTCTCGGAAGTTATTCAGCTTACATCATTGCTAACCCGTATTTACAGAAGTGGAAGACACTACCGAGCTCACCGGACTGTTGGGGTCATGCGGCCATGTTTATGTCAAGCGATGAATTGGGTGGTTTCCAAGTTGTTGCTGTTCGCAACGACGACACATATATTTACGAGTCTGAACACGACAGGTGGAGGGAAGTTGGGCACCCGCCTCGATGCGTGAAAGAAGGGCAAGTGATTCCCCGCATCAAAGACAAAGCTTGCGTTGCCTTTTGCAACAATCGTCTGTATACTACGAGCGCCGACGGCGACATGCTCATCTCTTTCGACATGCGCACAAAGCAATGGGCAAATCAGAGATTTCCTTTCGATCCAGATGTTTGTCATTTCAGCGAGTCCGAAAAAAAATCCATGCAGCTTGTAGAGTGCTCGGGGACTCTCTTCGCAGTCACAGAAGACGAACAAATCGGGAGAATTGCAGTGTGGGGAATCGGGACGAGGCTGGGGCAACTCTCACTCACAGTTACGATGCCTTTGACGGTTCAGCATTTCTTAAAACCTAATCCGCCGACACCTTATCGAAGGAGATCGAAGCCAAAGAAAGTGATATCCACTGGCCACGGCCACCAACTCTTCTTCTGGCGTCATGGGAGCTTGACCATTATCTCGTACGATCTCTTTACGCACAAATGGGACATGCTTCCGGACATTGCTATGGCGAGGGCGGGAGAGGAAGACATCTCCGAACTCCAGGTCAAAGTGGACATTGGCTTTTTTGAGCCCTTGAACATAGTACAGTAAATCTCTGCTAACAGTTCCTACACCCTATCAGCTCAACATTTGATGCACTGTATGTTTCAGTAACTGTTCGTGTCTGTCTGCGCTGAAGCAATTTCATCTTCAGACACGCGAATCCAAAAACCAGACCGCGATCTGCCGTTCCCTCAGTGGAATTCAATAGACCCTAGTACTAGCCATTCTTGTGCCTTGTTAACAGTTATCTTGCCGCGGACGTGAAGGCGCAGTGCTTCGCATAATAACCTCCTATCAGTTCTCGCGTGATAGGTATCTTGAAAACAAACAAAAAAAAATTCATAGTGAAATAATTCTTCCATATAATTTACCTCCGATTGTACTTGTATATTCAACTCTACTGACGCATTTGTCACATTCTGTTCAATGTTTGCACCGATGTTTGTCCGTTGTTCCCAGTTGAAGGTGCGCTCGGAAACTAGTCTCATGCCCCAGGCAGGTATCACACACCATGTGTGCTGAAGCATGAGAGGTCTTATGTCAGCACAGAGGTCCTATGTCAGTAAAAGGGATCGAATATATGCCCCTACAGTCCGTCAGGCTTTTGAGAGCGAGAGGGCAAGCAAAGAGGCAACATGGCCATGTGGGTCCCGGTTGTAAATCGAAACACACAGTGTCTCCACTAGAGGATCCTTTTCCAGATGGAGGGAGCTGGCATATGGGATTCCCACCGCAAAAGTGAGGCACCCACAGCTTGTGATTCAGACAGGCAGGGTTGGCTGTGGCTGAGTGGATGAGGTGGGTGGGTGAGAGTGTGTGAACGATGGAGGAACAGGAAGAGACATGCCACCCCTTGACTGAGCTAGGCTGGGCTGTCCTGCCACTGCCCCTGCCCTTGTGCAACTGAGTTGTGCTGAACAGCTGGAAAATTGGCAACACACATGACTCCCTTTGATGCCCCCCACCCACCCTTTCTTTTCTGCCTTCATTGGTCTGCAACCCCCATCAAGCATTACCCTCTTCTCATGATCATGCACACTTGGGAACAATCGTTGCAGTACCGGAATAGTTCAGCTTTTCTGTGCAGTCCAGTTTTGTATTGTGTTTGCTTTTGTTATTCATTCATGTTTCTCGTTTCATATTTGATAGTTTTTTGACGTTGAAGATTAAAAAATGGTTAATTTGTGCAATGGTTGCTTCCTAGACAAGAAACATGTTAAAAGATGTTTTCTTTTTTTCTTTTCTGCCACTCCTTTTGTACTATATTAAAATACTCACTTTAGCAAACTCTGTACAGTTTGTCCTCATAATTTAAAATGATTTTGTAACTTGGAAAGAAAGGATGCATTTTATATGCAATATTTGTACAATATTACTATACAAAGTTGTAATAGGTGAGATATTAGTAAATTTTGTTTCTAATAAATGAGTAACCACATTTTGTATGCAATTGCTATCCATATATTTTATTTGAAATATGCACAAAATTCATAATATTTTAATCAATTTTCATTTAATATATCTTTATCTTAATCATTTATTCACATTTGTTTTTCTAATATTAAACATCGTTTTATGTGAATATTCTCCAAATTCGTGTAAGTAAAGTTTATTTTTAAAAGCATATGAAGATTGTAACTACTTCTGTATTTAATACTTTTGATATTGTTATCATATTTTGATAACAACATTCTGTAAGAAACTCTCTTATCTCTAGCATTATCTAAGTACTATCTAATAATTCAAAATTAGTGCATATATATATATATATATATATATATATATTTTTTTTTAAAAAATACATTTTAAATAATCAAAACTTTAATTATGCCAAACACATTGACAAAAATCTTCCAAAACAATAATAGCATCTAGTCAAATGATATTACAATCACATATAAATGTAATGAGTTTGTATACATCTAGAACTGTTTTTAGTTACAATTTCAACAACTTTCAAAATTAATCTCCAACAATCAATTAGTTCTTAAAATACAATTACTTAATCTAAGGTAATAAATAAATAAAAATAAAAACTAAGTAAATATGGTATTAATTAATGTCGAGTGTAAATTATTTATTTCTAAACATTAATAATTATCACAAATATGATGTTGTAAAAATAGACTATACAAAAAATTGTAGGAATGTAATAAGAATGTATTAAATAACATTTTATAAACAAAATTCTATCATATATAAGATTTACAAAAAAATTGCATTATAATACAAAGATTTATTATACCATGCATTCTTGCAACATGATGCTACTGAAAGCCTAACCTCTTGCTCCTTATACAACCTTCAAAAGACCCTCAAAAGGCACCAGAAAACTTTGCAAAAGTGGAAGGTTACATGGTTTAAAAGAGACAATTTGTAAAGCACAACAATTGTTTAAATGAAGAACTAAATAAAAAGTGAGATTTATGTATATAATTAAATTAAAAGCTTGCAATAAGAGAACACTGGTTGAAGAGTACAACTAGTGCAAGAATGGATTGTCTCTTTTAAGTGATTATTTTATAAAAAAATAGAAAACAAATCATAGTTGGAATGTTGATATTATAAATGCTTAGCAACTTCTATGATCTGGTTGAGAATATTGTAGCCTATCTTGTGGCCAGGAGAATGAATGTCAATCAAAAGCACATGACAACTATGTGGTTGAAAGTGTGTGTTGACCCCAAGTTTATTGCACAAACCCTTCTATCTCATTAGTTGCCCAGTGATGCATTGAGAAATTTCCAACAAAAGGCACAAATCAAAAGTAGAAACTCTTGCAAATAAGTAATCAATTGAAACTCTATTAGATATTGCCATTGAAAAAAAAATAAACCATGGCATCGAAATTAATAAAAATAGCAAGCTTGTGTAAATTGTCTTTATATTAAAAACCGCCAAAACAAATTTTGTTATTCTTCTTAATTGCACTTATAAGACATACAAATAATCCTCTTAATTCCAAAAAAGATTATGACGTATTAATTATGTCTAATACATTGTTATTCAATTTTGATCATTGTTGCAATAGATAGGTACCAAATGTTGTTACTACATGAAATAGAATTTTTTTCTCTTAATATATCTTTTTTTATTTTTTTTATTATTTTACAAGTAGTAAAAAATAATTGTATTATAGATAGGCCTTGAATTAAGTAAAGAAGTATTTTGGTGACTAATTTACTTAAGATTGCTTAATTTTTTTCATGCATTGAGGAAAACCTTAATGTTTGTCATTTTGAAAATATTACCAAATGCAAAAATTTTGCTTTGCATTTAACATACGTAAAAGAGTATCATTATAAATATAAATTCTATTATCATGGAAAATGGTATCAAGGACATATATGTTGATTCTAATAATTATCTAGATAAAAAAAATTAGATAAAAATAAAAGAAAGTAAAATTCATAATATCTTATAGAGAAGCTTTTTAAAAGCTTGATAGACACAGGTTTGACTTTATACGTATTTGTAGGTAATTTGTAGGTTGAAGACTTAGCCAACAAGTTGGCTATATATTGAACATGTTGATTATTAGTTTTACAAGTTGGCTATATGTCTCACATATTAGAAACTTACTTTGTAAGTTAGATACATATTCAAAAATTTGAACATGTGATAGATGACTAATAGAATGTCACCACATAGCTCCTTAGATAATATATATAAAGGCAAGAGTGAAGCCCTCTTTACCCTTGTCAATGTCATTCATATGTTTTTGCTTTAGTATAAGAATTTCTTGTCTCTTTATTTTTGATAATAGCTATTCTAATTTCTATTTTTGATTTGTTTATTTTTTTTTGAATAATATAAGAATGTATTGCTTTTTTAGAATTTTGATAGGATTCATGTCCTTGACAATTTGACAAGAATACTAATTTTTTATACTTTTTTGGTTTAGAAATAAGTAAGTTACTTCACTTTATTTTTTTGTGATTTAAAGATTGTAGGCTATCCATTTTTGAAGTAATATTTTTTTATTTTTTAAGATTGATTTTTTTATTATAAAGAGAGAACCATCTTATTTATATAAAATTTTATTTGGTATTGGAAGTTGTAGATTGCCCTCTTTTGATTTAATTTGTGATTTTGTTAAAAAAACCTTATAGAGATAGAAGGAAAAATTATAAATGCTATACTTAATGAAAATAAGAATAGATTTGTAACTGTTGGAGATCTTCATAAGCTTGTCAATCTACTTAGAATAAAAATTTCTTGTATTATTAATGCCAATTATAAAAATATTATTTCTATATTTATGGAAGAAGTCAACAATGAAATCTTATATTTACATTAAGAAGTTGTACAATTGAGAGAAGCTAGTAGATCAATCTCATAAGTGAATCCAAAAATTATTATTACTATAAGTATAAAAGAGGTAGAGATTAATATGCCAAAGAAATTTAATAGAAAAAGATTAAATTTTTGAATATTTTTATAATAAATTATATTTTATTTAAGATTATATTCTTTTTAATATAATAATAGATTTACTCAATTTAGATTTATAAGTACATTCTTTTTTAAAAGTACCCTCTTTTAATTTACATCTTTAATAGAAAAAAAATTATAATTCTTATATAATCTAAATTTATTCTTAGAATTATTTAAAATCATATTTAAAGAGAATAATTAAAAAAACTTAAAAAAAATAAAACTCCTATTTTTATGATAGAGGTCACAATCAACTATCATTTATGGTATCAAATTCCAAAGCCTTATTTGCTGTATAGATTGAAAGAATAAAATTCTTATTAATCAATTTTAATTTAATTTATAAGATGATATCAAAAATTTATTAATAATGTTAGAAGCTGAATTATAAGAACAATTTATTGACTAATTAATTGCATGTAAAAATTAGCTCTTTGAAAGATGCCAAAGATAATTATTTAGTTGAATAGAAACAAATCAAGTTATGATAATATATCTTAAGTTTTTAAAACTTATTTATTAAAGCTAAAACCTATGCAAATTAATATGGCATATTATCAAAGAAGATTAAAAAAAAGACTTCACATTATCAAAGAAGATTATACTAATATTGTGGAGAATTTGTGCATATTGCTCAAAATTATCTAAAAAAGCCATACAATTACAAAATAAAGGATGATTATCAATGAAGACAATATGCTAAAAAAATAAATTATCTAGCTACAATAGCAACCATGCAGCTAGAATCTCATGCAACACCTAGTGAAGATTATATTCCTTCTATAAAACTATAACTTTATTTTACAATAGATGTTTATTTAAGACCTAAAAATCATAAAGCCTATATCTTGCTAGATTCACAAGTTCCATATTGTTTTTTAGATGAAGACTTTGTTAAATGACATAGTAAATATTTAATAAAGAAAATTAGGTCTATACATATAAAAATCATA